ATAATAATAATGTGTCTTAAACCCTGCCTCTGACATTATTATTATTATGTCTTAATTAATATTATTACTATTAATAATATTATTAATAATGCACATTATTAAGACACATTATTATTATTAATAATAATAATAATAATAATAATAATAATAATGTGTCTTAAGCCCTGCCTCTGACATTATTATTATTATGTCTTAATTAATATTATTATTATTAATAATATTATTAATAATGCACATTATTAAGACACATTAATAATAATAATAATAATAATAATAATAATAATAATAATGTGTCTTAAGCCCTGCCTATGACATTATTATTAGTATTATTATTATGTCTTAATTAATATGATTATTAATACACATTATTATGACACATTAATAATAATAATAATAATAATAATGTGTCTTAAGCCCTGCCTATGACCTTATTATTGTCTTAATTAATATTATTATTAATAACACACATTATTAAGACACATTAATAATAATAATAATGTGTCTTAAGCCTTGCCTATGACATTATTATTATTATTATGTCTTAATTAATATTATTATTAATAATACCCATTATTAATAATAATGTGTAGTATTATTATTATTAACATTATTAATAATATAACACATCATTATTATTAATAATATTAATAATTATACACATTAAGACACATTAATAATATTATTATTATGTCTTAATTAATATTATTATTAATAATACCCATTATTATTATTATTATGGTTATTATTAATAATAATAATAATAATGTGTATTATTAATCATATTATTAATAATACACATTATTAAGACACATTAATAACAATAATAATAATAATAATAATGTGTCTTAAGCCCTGCCTATGACATTATTATTATTATTATTATTATTATTATTATTATTATTATTGTCTTAATTATTTTTATTGACTTAATAATAATAATAATAATTAATTGTCTTAATTAATATTATTATTATTGTCTTTATTATTATTGTTAATAATAATATTAATAATAATAATACACATTATTATTAGTAGTAATAATGTGTATTATTATTAATATTAATAATAATAATACACATAATAATACCTCGAAGATCATCTGGACCAACCCTATTCAGACCCAATCAAAGCCCTCCCGACAGATGGCCATCTACGCAACAGGTTCCTAGCCAATCAACGCCAGGAGACCCTGGGAGTTGTAGTTTACCAGGTTGTTCTTGGTCTTGGCGACGTTGGGGTCGTCGGGGCCGAGTCGGGTCTGGTAGATGCGCAGTGCGCGCTGGTAGTACTGCTCCACTTCGTCGAACTTGCCCTGGTTCTGGCACAAGAGAGCCAAGTTGTTGAGCTGCTTGGCCACGTCCGGGTGGTCCGTGCCCAAGACCTGTCGTCAAACAACACAGAAGAGTTATTAAGGGGTACGCCTGCACTATACAACACGCGTGGGCCAACTTGGGCCCTCCCCTCCAGGTGTTTTGGACTACAACTCCCAAAATTCCTACCTACCTACCTTTTGGGCAGTTTTATCTTTTGCAAAGCAATGGGACAATTTTACCAGTTTTTCCTTTTGCAAAGCATTCCGAAAGTTTTGCATTTTGCAAAGCAATAGGACAGTTTCACTGTTAAAAGTAAGGAATTAATCCAGGGAGGAAAATGAGAAGAGGTGGCAAGTAGATAATAATAATGATAATAATAAACATAACAATAACAGTGATAATAACAATAACAACATTGCAATTAGAAAAATGGATGCCGGGGGGAGAAAAATCGTTCTCGAACGCAATCTGCAACCTATTTTGCAAAATCACGTTACTTATGTTCATTTCTTCATGTTTATTTGTTTATTTATGTTTATTTAAATATATGTAAACAAACATAAACAAATAAACAATAAATAATAACGATAATACTAATAATAAACATAACAATAACAGTAATAATAACAATAACAACATTGCATTTAGAAAAATGGATGCCAGGGGGAGAAAAATCGTTCTCGAACGCAATCTGCAAGATATTTTGCAAAATCACTTTACCTATGTTCAGTAGTTGTTGATTTATGTTTATTTGTGTTTGTTTAAACATAAACAAACAAACAATAACAACAATAACATCATTAACAACATTGCAATCAGAAAAACAGAGGCAAGGGGAAGAAAAGTCGTTCTCAAACGCAATCTGCAAGCTATTTTGCAAAATCACTATACTTATGCTCGTTTGTTATTTATTTGTTTATTTATGTTTATTAAAACATAAATAAACAAAGATAAGCAAATAAACGATAAAGGATAATGATAATATAACAATAATAATAACAATAATAACATTGCAATTAGAAAAATGGATGCCAGGGGGAGAAAAATGGTTCTCAAACGATAATACTAATAATTAACATAACAATAACAGTAATAATAATAACAATAACAACATTGCAATTAGAAAAATGGATGCCAGGGGGAGAAGAATCGTCCTCAAATGATAATACTAATAATTAACATAACAATAACAGTAATAATAATAAGAATAACAACATTGCAATTAGAAAAATGGATGCCAGGGGGAGAAGAATAGTTCTCAAATGATAATACTAATAATTAACATAACAATAACAGTAATAATAATAACAATAACAACATTGCAATTAGAAAAATGGATGCCAGGGGGAGAAGAATCGTTCTCGAACGCAATCTGCAACCTATTTTGCAAAATCACATTACCTATGTTCATTTGTTTATGTTTATTTGTTTACTTATGTTTATTTAAACATAAGTAAACAAAACATAAATAAATGATAAATGATAATGATAATAATAAACATAACAATAACAGTAATAATAACAATAACAACATTGCAATTAGAAAAATGGATGCCAGGGGGAGAAAAATCGTTCTCGAACGCAATCTGCAACCTATTTTGCAAAATCACGTTACCTATGTTCATTTGTTTATGTTTATTTGTTTATTTATGTTTATTTAAACATAAATAAACAAACATAAACAAATAAACGATAAATGATAATGATACTACTAATAACAAACATAACAATAACAGTAATAACAACAATAACAACGTTGCAATTAGAAAAATGGATGCAAGGAGGAGAAAAATCTTTCTCGAACGCAATCTGCAACCGATTTTGCAAAATCACTTTACCTATGTTCATTTGTTGTTTATTTATGTTTGTTTAAACATAAATAAACAAACATAAACAAATAAATGATTAAACATAAACAAACAAACAAACAATAAATGATGATGATAATTATAAATAAGCATAAAATTAACAGTAATAATAACAATAACAACATTGCAATTAGAAAAATGGATGCAAGGGGGAGAAAATCGTTCTCTAACGCAATCTGCAAACTATTTCGCAAAATCACTTTACCTAATGTAAATAAACACATAAACATAAACAAATAAATGATACATTGTAGTAATAATAATAAATAAATATAACAATAACAGTAATAATAAAAATAGCAACATTGCAATTAGAAATATGGATGCAAGAGGGGAAAATAGTTCTCGAACGCAATCTGCAAGATATTTTGCAAAATCACTTTACCTATGTTCATTTGTTGTTTATTTGTTTATGTTTATTTGTGTTTGTTTAAACATAAACAAACAATAAATGCTGATAATAAATAAACATAACAATAACAGTAACAATAACAATAATGACACTGCAATTAGAAATATGGATGCAAGGGGGGGAATCGTTCTCGAACGCAATCTGCGACCTATTTTGCAAAATCACTTTACCTATGTTCATTTGTTGTTTATTTGTTTATGTTTATTTGTTTATTTGAGCCCCCGGTGGCGCAGTGGGTTAAACCCCTGTGCCGGCAGGACTGAAGACCGACAGGCCGCAGGTTCGAATCTGGGGAGAGGCGGATGAGCTCCCTCTATCAGCTCCAGCTCATCATACGGGGACATGAGAGAAGCCTCCCACAAGGATGATAAAAACATCAAATCATCCGGGCAACGTCCCCTGGGCAACATCCTTGCAGACGGCCAATTCTCTCACACCAGAAGCGACTTGCAGTTTCTCAAGTCACTCCTGACATGACAAAAAAATTGTTTATTTGTGTTTATTTAAACATAAATAAACAATAAAGGATAATGATAATACTAATAATAAATATAACAATAACAGTAATAATAGCAATAACAACATTGCAATTAGAAAAATGGATGCAAGGAGGATAAAAATGGTTCTCGAATGCAATCTGCAAGCTATTTTGCAAAATGGCTTTACCTTCTCCCGGATCTCCAGGGCCCTTTTGCACAGCGGCTCGGCTTCCTTATACTTTCCCCTTTTGCCATAGAGGACGGCCAAGTTGTTCAAGGTGGCAGCCACCTGCAAGAAATACGCCTTTCCTTACCCATGGGTCAGATCCTGAGTGCTCTATAGCCTTGCAAACACATGCATGCGCAAGATCAAAGGTTCGCATAGTTGGAAAGAGACCCCCAAAGGTCAGCTAGTCCAACCCCCTTCTAAAAGGCAGGAGAGCACCATTCGTTCCCTCCCAACAAGATGACCATCCAGCCTCTGCATCATAATAATAATAATAATAATAATAATAATAGAATCTTAAGAGTTGGAAGAGACACCCAAAGATCATCTAGCTCAACCCCCTTCAGGTGGGAAGACACCATCCGAGCCCTC